CATTAAAGTAGTATATGTGTTAGATTAAAAGGCTAATTTTTAATTAATACATATGCACTTTCTGGAATGAGAAGGCCAAGCAAACCACTGGGCTGTTTGGTATAAGAATTCCCAGCTCACAGACTTCAGTTCTCTCAGAGCTCCTTCCAGTTTTGGGCTAAGTTTTTTGGGACTAGGCTTTTTTTTTCATCCACACTGTGGATGAGTTTTGCATCTATGTCATTGCAGAGGAAACAATTTTATTTCTATCTCTTTAGTTTAGTTCTTTGTCATTGTGTTGTCAAGAGGAGCTTTTTAAAGCACACATTTCTACTCAAGAAACATCTATTCTGTCCTCAGGGGAAAAAGCACAAAGTAGGTGAAAAATAAATCTGGAAAATCCTTGTGAAATCTTTGGATTGCTAAAGTAACCCTGAACTCAAAGCATACCAGTGAACACTTTTAAAGGTGCTCAACAGCCATCAGAAGAAAAGGGGGAAAAGAAACCTTATAACTACCAGGAAAAAGCCTATATAATTTACAAAAATAATCTAAGTCTTACAAGAATATTTGTTTGAAAGCCATGGCCCAAACTGGGTTGCAGCCTTGCTTTTTTTTTTTTTTTTTAATAGCACAGAGCAATTTGGAAATTGAAGCTGTAAGTTTTATTCAAGGCTGAAAAGCATTAATTTTGCTATTGAAAAATGGGTAGACATCGTGAGGATTAAAAAAAATTGAATAAACATAAAAGCTCTCCCAAACAAAGTTCCCTTCAAAATTGTCATGTAAGGTTTTTCAGGGGCTCATCTAGCTCTTTCTAGAGGCCTAAATCTATAAAATATTTGCCTTCTACAGCAAACCATTCAGGATCCAAATCCTGCATGAGATATTCTTGACAACCAAGTGACTGTTTAGTTTTTAAAATCTTTCAGTGTTTACCTATAAACTGATGTGGGACCTGGGCAAGAGGCACCACTATTCCACCATCAAAGACCACTGGCTCCAGGCAGCTTCCTGCACCCTCAGCCATTTTTCTGTGAAAGATGATTCCCCCTACACACACTCACAATCTGCTGGTCACCAGACTCCCTCTCATGTCTCTTACCTGTAGAAATGTAGTACCACTTATAGAGTTGCTTGCAGGTATGATATGAAAGTTTTCACTTGCTCTATCAATATTGGTGTTCATATTTCTCACACTTTCCTGGGAACTTTTCAGGATTTACATTCCCTGTTATCCTTAAATAACACATTTCTCTTAGACTGAGTGGCATTTTTATCATGCCATTTTTAAGGATGTTTTTATTCCCCTATAAATCACACACCCCAAGAAGTATTTGTTGTGCTTGCATCCGGTTAGACCTACAGCTTCAAGTTTGCTCTGAGTTTTGCATAGATGCCTAACAGTGCAATAAAAGAGAAGCCAGATTTGATACCTATAGTGCTTTTTCTGATTTACTGTCACACAGCCTTTTTTGGCCTCAGTTTCTTCTATTACAGATAATTAAAAAATTAAAAATCAAAACATTATTACTATCTTTGCATCTACTGGTACCCCACAAAGGTAAATGCAACAAATTAACTCCTTGATGACTCCTAAGAAAGGACATTAAACAGTCTCTATTTCTTAAGTATGCAAGTAACCATAGAGTGGATCATTGGACAATTTGGAATAAAAACTAGTGATAAGGTTAAATAATTGAATCAAAAATTAAATAATTGAATCCTGGTATGAAAGTAATTTCTCTCCTCAAATACATTGAGAGATGAAAGCTTTGTAAAACTTAGTCCTGACTCTGTCTTATTGCCTTCCATCCAACAGACTTGCTGGCATTGAAAAGCTCCATTATTTTCTCCATCACTTATGTAAAGCCCCACTTATCATAGCAAGTGTATCAACTTCATTTAATATTTCAAGAGGGCTGTGATCATTTTTATAGTTCCAGTAGTCTTGATCATTATCTCAAGTCCTCAATAGCAACAAAAACTATATAACTATGATCTAGTTTTAAATGCAAGGGTTACTGGGGCAAGAGGTAAATACATATTAAATGTAAGAAATGCCTCATTCCTTCCAGAAAATTAATCATTAAGAGAACCAAAATAACTTATTTTTGGACAAAAGCTACCCAAAATATTGTTCCAATGGGTGGCAGATAACTACATACTGATGCTGTAGGCCAGTATAATAGCTTTTAAAAATAAAGCCACTTCAAGGTTCCAGATGAGCAATTAAAAGCTGACAAACTTTTTTTTTCCAGTTGAGTGCCACAGATGATGAATGAAAATCACAGATGAGTATTGCAATTGAACAGTAAAATACTGATCTTAAAAAACTGCTTAAACGAACACTATCCCT